AGGTAACCCATGCCAAAAGAACTGCTGAGATGAAGTCAGTGTATTGTTATGTAAATGATGTCAGACAGATAAAATCAGTGAAAGACATTCTGGCCAACATGAACACCAAAGCTGAACTAACTACTTCGTTAAGAAAGTCATCACCCATTTCCATAACAATCAACAGAAGATGCTGGCTGCTTATCAAACTGTCATAAGGGACAATAGCCGCCTTTCAGAAATTGTCAGAATGATAATTGTGGAAGGGTAATTGTCCTGGTGGGCCCATTGCTGAAGGATGCACATGAATCCTGAGCAATCAGTGAATATTACTCTGAATGTGACTCCAGATCAAGCTAACCCCACATCCATACAAATGCAGTGCAGATCACCCCAGAATGAAGACAAAAACCAGAAGTGGAATCATCAAAAGGTCACAGCTAACGTCACAAACCATTCTATTTCCAGTTTATGTTCCTTTTACATGAGTGCTCTCATAAGTCTATTCCATCCTGTTTCACATTAATCCACTAAAAAACAACAACAACCTCCAAGCCTCCTCCCAAAATACATTTAAATACTAGGGGTATGCAAAAAAAAATCAGATAAATCCCAAATCAAGAACTTAAATAGGGTTGCTGTAGACCAGGCAGGTCCAGGGGGTGTCCCTGGTCGATTGCCTTAGTGTTCCAAAACATGAAAGAAAGAAAGAAAGAAAGAAAGAAAGAAAGAAAGAAAGAAAGAAAGCTGAACAACTTTGGCAAAACCTCTCCTAAAAAAAGCTCAAGAACTTTGGTCAATCCTCCCCTAAAAAAACCTCAACAGCTCCTGGCAATGACATTGGGTAGATCACAGCCAGTCTTTTTATACTGTGAGTAGATTGCAGTCTCTTGGGAGTTGGACGTGCTGGCTGTAGACCAAATTGGCAATTGTTGAAGTCAATGGAGGAACTCCTCAATGTGTCCCCAAGCAAAGTGTGACCTCCAAAGTGTTTTGAGAAGCTTCAGAGAACCAGATTTATTTATTTATGCAAAACCCAAAACTTTTCTCCCAAAGCTTGCCATATAAGGAAAAATGCTAAGTTGAGGTGAAGGAGAAGGTGGAGCTTTTTTCTTTTGTGATGGATGGGTCTAATTTCTAGTTGGAGGGAATGATTTTACCAGGGCTCTTCACTCAAGGTGTTGAGAGAAGGATGTTGAAGCAACATATTACCTGGTGAACACAACTTTTCTCTGTACACTGTGTGTTCATCTACCCATCTCTTATCAGAAGTCCCTCTATACCAGCTTTCTCTGTAAACTAAAATATACCAACTCTTTAGCTTGTTCTCATGGGGAAGATGCTCTGACCTTTTGATCATTTCCACAACCCAGGCATGAAGAACATTGTTCAGACCAATTCCCATCTGGGCAAGCTTTTGTGAGCCACACAGCAGTGATGGAAGCAAAGAATGGAATTTTAACTTTATATGTTATGGTAGTTTCTACAAAGACTCAGGGAATCTTCCCTATCCTCCATCCAGACAACTGGGAGACATTATGAGAGCTCAAGGATGCATTCAGGGCAGGCAAGGCACTCAAGGAGGTTGTAATGCAGACTGGTAAGGGATGCAGCCTTTGGAGAAGCCTGAGGGCCTGGCAGAGAGGACATTTGGCCTCCAGGCCCGAGGATGCTTGCTGTTGGTGTCACTCTTTCTAGATGCTTTTTACAAGCTCTGCAACAATCTTTTTGAGATGGAGTGAGCAGAACTGCATTCCAAATGCTGCCACACCCAGGGAAGACTGAAGAATCTGGTCATTGCAAACTCCTACATGAAATGGCTCGATTTGTATCTCTTGTGTTAATATGTCCAAACTTAGATTTCCATCGATTTTTGCACTTCTTCAGATGTTTTTATGCTAGTCTGGGCAGTTTGAACATATCAAATTGATGCCTATTTTGAGAGAAAATATACATTTATAATATGTTTTTTGAGAATATTTGTTTTTTTAAAAAAATTAAATTCAGATTAACCTGGAAACAGAATGCAATAAAATTATGGTAAAAATATGCTAAAGTGGTGCAGACCAGAAATATATAGATTTATATGTTCCTAGACACATTTTTTTAAAAATAATAATAATTAAATAAATAAATAAGCTGTCTATCCTAATACTCTCTAGTATAACAAGGAAAATCAATTCCATCTACTGGAATCCCAAGCTCACCCCCCCATACCCCTTTTAAAAAGAAATTAACCACTGGGATTGCTTCCCTACCAGGTTCCTATCTAGAGTCATCATGTTATCTAGACATTGCAGGAGTTTCTTAGAATGTGGCATCCTCATCCTTGTTCACAAACTCAGGACCATTTTTGAGGTTCTGCGGTTGCTATAGCAACTCAGCATCACTATCAATTGCAATAGGTCAAAATGCTGGGTAGCATCAGAAATGTAATTTTCCTGCCGCCTCTCTCTCTCTTTCTCTCTTGTGACTGTTTCAAAGGTTTCAGTACAGTGACAGCAACATCTGAACAAATTCGCATGTGGGTGGGGGAGAAGGGAGGAGACCTGGGCTGTGTTGCTGCTAAACATTATCGATCAAAAACACAGTTTGTCTCTGCACCTACCTTCATTTTTCATCTGCCCCTAAAGATGTTAAACCGAAACAGGGAAGCAGAGCAGAGGATGGGGCCATGTTGCAGTGTGCGCAAGGAGATGTAGGTAGGATCGTTAAGGACAAGCTAAGTACTTTTTATTCTAGGGATCCTTCTCCACGACACAGTGAGTCATCCTCGAGGCCAAATATACCTTTCAGAGAAGGCAGAGTTGAGAAGGGCTTGTGCATTAAGGGGATACATCTCAAAATGGCATATGTTAAACACAAACTGCTTGGCACATATTGTACTAGTTTGAATGAATTCTGATGGGTTCGTAAGGTGGCTGCTGTCCCTGCTTGTGGACAGGGGCATTATTCAGTGAAGGGCCATAGCTCAGTGACACAACACAGGCTTTGTGTGCATGAGGTCCTAGGTTGAACCCCAGCATCAGTTCCCAGCATGGCAGGGAAATGCCCCCGTCTGAGAATTCTAGTGAGTGCAGACCTCAGATGGCTAATCTGTGGTCCACCAAGCGTTGTTGGACTACAACTCCCATCACCCCTGACCATTGGCCATGCTGCCTGGGGCTGATGGGAGTTACAGTCCAACAACTACTGGAGGACTATGAGTTCTAAGTCCTTTTATCCAGAGTGGATAAAACCTGCCAAGTTAGAGACATATAGGTGTAGGGATTTTTTTGTGTTGGGCACTTTTAAAATTTGCTCTCTCTCTCTCTTTAAGTCTATTTCTTTTTTTATTTTTGAACAGAATTTGATAAAATTTGTAGGCACATCAGTTCCTTCTGAGGAAATGGATTCTGACAAATTTCAAAATGGTTTCAACATAGTGACAGCTGCTACAGTTTAGGGATAGTTAAAAAAATGAATCTCTCCCCTAGTGTTCTGTGGAGAATTGTCATAAAAATTGCAGAGAGCTGCATCCTTCAGTAAGAAGGCTGACAAATTGCAGACAAGCAAGTCTGGGGGCTTTTGTACTAGGCACTTTTAAAGTTTATTTGGGTGTTAAGAACTAAAGGGGATGTGCCTTCTGGGTAAAATCATTCCCTCTGATTACAAGCTTGACCTGCAAGTCACCACAGAGTTCTCCCTCTGCCTCTCCCCATGCCAGTGTTTGCTCTCTGTTCTTCCAGAGTCTCCAGGCTGAGCCCTGCATGGAGCTGTCCATGTTGCAATTGAAGTCTTCCTTTGCCTTGCTCTGCTGAGGCCATTGCTCAGAATTGGTCACTGAACTCCTTGATGGTATAGTTAGGATATAATTTGAATAAAGGAAATACATAAGCGGACAAATCATTTGTTGAGAAGGGGAAGAGGGTCAGATTGGCCTAAACCCACCAGAGATTCATTTCTCCTACAGTAAGAATTAAGTGCAAACCAACAAGCACTCTAATCTTAGGACCTCTTCTCACAATATTTTGTGTTGATTCTAGCTATCACCTCAGTATCTATCATCTATCTATCTATATCTATCATCTATCCATCGGTCTACACAATCTTTATTAGTTTTTTTAAAAACAATCCTTCCCTTAACAGAAAAGCCTCTTGACACAACAACAATGTCATAACACAAGGTTATACTACTCCCAGGCCAGAATCCAGACTATGAAAAGAAAAGTCAGAGCAACCCTCCCAAATGCCTTGAATGCCTTAGGGAGTGTATGGTTGTCCTTATTTATGTAAGCAATAAAGCAATACCAGCTGGCTGTAAAAGAGTCTTCTCACAATATTTTGTACTTGGGTGCCGATTTCTAAGAACAAATGCCTGTACTGGATCCCGCTTGGTCAACAGGCAGGCTCTTTTGCTAGAAGTGCCTTTTACCAACTGCAATTGGTACAACAGGTATGACCATTCTTTGGACCATGGAAGCTTGATGACAGTAGTTTGTGAATTGGTTAGCAATTAGCTCTTTTCGTGGCTTCCTTTGCACCCGATCCAGAAGCTGCAGTTAGTGCAGGATGCTGCAGCACCGCTGCTGAGAGAAGCGAGAGCTTGTCAGCATATAATACGTGTGCTCAGGGATCTGCACTGATGACTGATTTGCTACCAAGACAGGTTCAAGGTGTTAATTTTAGTATATAAATTCCAGTTTACCTACAAGATTGCCTTACCCCATATACACCCACCCGACTGCTTTGATCTGCAGAACTGGAATGCCATGTGATATCTGTCCTACATTTGTAAGAAATCAATATTTTAGTGTAGCAGCATCTACACTCTGGAACTCCTTGCCTATTGACATCAGGTAGGCACCTTCACAGCATTCTTTTCAGCACCTACTAAACTCATTGTTGTTTAGACAAGCCGAACGAGACTTGTAGGATATTTATGTATGTTTTAATCTTCTCACTGCTAAGAACCACCACCACCACCATTATCATCTCCAGTTGCTAGTCACAAACTGCAAAAAGGATGCATTATGTGTTTTGTAGCCAACAGGGGTTACACAATTTTATTATATTTTTAAAGTAGTCAGTTAAACCTTGTGGGCATATCAATTAGCCACAGCCTTCTGAATTCAGGATGATGATCATAATGCATGAGAACTGGCATGACTGTACACTCATATATTTTTTTAAAGGTGGTTAGTATGAAAACCCCTGGAGCTACATATCTGTAATTTGGGAAGATTTAATCCCTCTACAGAGGCTACCATGTCTCCAAATTTCATGTCCCTGGGCTAAAAACAATAATGTTATGGCCATATTTTGTTTCTCAAAACAAGTCAATTGGATTTCTGAAGATTTGTCAAATCCGGATCTGGATCCAGATCAAGTCGGACTTGATCAGACCTAATCAGGTTTTACGAATTGGAGTCACAAATATGACCAGATGGCCTATACACAGCCCTAGTAAATTGAGCTTGTTTTTGCTGGACTCAATTCTGAATCCACAAATCCTGCTATGTTTGTTACATATCCAGCAAGAATGTTGCCTCTCATATCCTCTTCTTCCTCTTGTGGCCTGGTGGAGCTCTGGAGGCCTCAGCAGTCTCTTCTCTCTGTCTCTCTGTGCCTCTTTTTACTCCTTCCTTCCTTCCTTCCTTCCCTCCTTCCCCTCCTCTCTGCTATTAAGAATGTTAGTATCACAGAAACCAGGGACTTGTTTTCCCAGGGTACCCATGGGTATGTGTGGTGGGGCAACAGCCTACAACAAAGGGTAAATATCTTCTCCAGTTTGGGTTACAATCAAAGCCAGAGAATAACTATCAAACATTGATGATTGCCCCATAATGTATTTGAAGTTCTCTTCCAAGCCAGGGAATAAGCAAACTTCATTAGCCTCACTAGTCACCATTGCATTACATTGCATCAGATCCAACACAGCACACAACGGAGTCACCTTTGCATTAGTATATGGTGACTGTTGTATGTTGGGAGGGGATCTAATGCCAGAGGACTGCTTGTCTAAAACCAGGTGGCCCTTCAGGCATTGATGACAACAAGTCCCATCATCCATGACCGTTGGCTATGCTGGCTGGGCCTTGTGGGAGATGACATCCCACAACAACTGCTGCGCCACAGGTTGTGCAACCTTTGGCCTAAGTCACTAGTCCATAAGGAATTGCTCTTGACATATGGAGACATCTGAGCAAGTTTCATGACCTTCAAGGGCTTCCAGTTGGAGGCCTAGATACCCAAGTCCTCTAGACCTCTGTTGCTAGCTGTGTACTTCCTATGGCATTTTTTTTAATTCATCCCTCTCTCTCAAAAAGAGATATAGCTTCACAGCCTCCAGCACAGCATGACTCCATCAGACCAGAGCATTCATGAGCAACTTGGTTGTTCAGTTTGTTTTGAAACACATGTTCCCCGGGCCTCCTTAGGCTTCCTTTAACCCAGCAGGGTCAAGATGCTCCAGTTCTCTTTGGTGCAGTGGGAAGGCTTAAGCAATAAAAGCAAATCAATACACAGGATGAAGATACAAAGTGCCCCGATGCAGCTCAGAGTTGTGTCTGACACGCGTCATTCACAGGCAGAGAGAGAGGACTGGAGGGAAGAGTCAAGGAGCTGGGCCTCGGTGAGAGAAGCTCTCACAGCTTCCTTACACACACATACGCACACACTCCTTCGTTGCTCACAACAGCTGTCAGAAGCATAAAGCCGTTTGATTTAAAATCAATTGCCCAGTCAAGACATACCCTTTCTGCTAGAGTGAAATATAACATTCAAAATGCAGAAGTGAAGGCAAAGGAGGCAAGGGAGCTTTTCTTTTTCATTGCTGAGGGCTCCTGCGGTTTGTGAAATGAGTGTAAAACCTCCCAGTTAATCTGATCATGCAAGTTGGGGTCAGCTTCAGCAAACAGAGTTCAGAAGAGTGCCAGAGTTCAAGCAAACAGATGATAATGCCGTACAGCAGACTTTGCGAAATGGACCCGTTTTGCTTATTTGGAATCATAGGAACCAACTCCTGGTCGCTGAGGTCCCTTCAGCCCCCCAATAAAACAGTTGAGGGGGCCAGGGTCCCCCCAAGTTGATGTGCATTGCCATTCAAATGGTGTGTGTACACCTCATCAAGTGACTGATTAAGCAGGGTGGCGCAGGGCTTCCCTGCCCCCCTCCAATATTTTATTCAAATTGGCACCTCTGTTTGGAGGGGTGGCTTGTAGTAGGTGGGTGAAACTGGGGGTGAAACCAAAGGACTTTTTGAGGGGGGGCAGAGCAAAAAATAAAAATGGGATGTGAGTGTGTGTGGGCTTATGAATAAGGCTTGGGCAGCCTTGCTTCAAATATCTTTTAGATTTTTTTTTTTAGAAAAGTCAGATTGAAACAGTAATGGCCCAGCTGAGTTACCACATCCTCCAAGCTTTCCCCTGACCCATATTTTGCTCACAACATAAGGTAAGGCTGGAAGCCTGTGACTGGCCCATGGTCCCCACGTGAACCTCATGGCTGAACCCTGGTCTTCCAGGCCCGAGTCCAACACTCTAATCATGACACTCTAGCCAATATAATCAGAATATCCTAGGTTCAAACCCTCACATCTCCAGTCTTAGAGATCACAGCCAGAAAGGAGCTCCTCCTGAGTGCTGCTGCCAGTCTGAGTAGATAATACTGACCCAGCAACTTCATACATTTAGAAAAGAAAGCTGCAGGTGAATCAATGGCCTGGTGATGCTTGAACTAATCAGCCTCTAAATCCCAAATATCCGTGTCTTTCATTTTACTGTAACCTAGAGCACTGTGTGTATAGCTGCTGCCACAGTATACATAATAAGCTGTAGTAGAAATAATAGCATTAGTAACCCCGGGGAAAATTACCTCATATCAGATCATTTCACTTCCTAGGAATGATGAGCCTGAGGTGCATGTTGGGTGGGGAGGATATTCCTGACAAGGTCAGCGAGGAAGAGAAAAGAATTGGCCACAATCAAATCAGGGAAACTTGTGAGCAGCAGAAACCCAATTAAGGGTGGTGAATTACTTCCAGACACTCTAGTTAAAAATGAAGCAACCCCCCCCCCATATGTCATGGCATTTGCACTCCCTCCCACCTCCTCCAAGAGTAGGGGCAGGCCAAGACATTTTGCAAGGAGCATAGTATCCAAGGCTGGTCAACTAGTTCACTTCGCTAAACCTTTATTAGGCATTACAAGTATAGGCCATCATAAAGCATCCATATATAAAATTTAAAAAATATATACAAATAAACAGGGCTGGTCAACTTACTTTGGCACCTTAGGTAGAAAATCCCACCACTGGCAATAAAAATACAACAATAATACATTAAGTCACCAACAATTTGCTGCCTTCTCATGACATCTCAAGTCTCTGCCTAAGAATGGTAGGGGTAGCCCCATCAAGGAGCAAGAGTCAACTTGTCTCCATCCCTTTGAAGAGGGAAGATATGGAAGTGTGCCAGGCTTACTTCCTCGTGCCCAGCATGTAACAAGAAATACCTGGTCTAGAAACAGGAACCATCCACTCTCTGTGTGGCTGCTTCCTGAGGTAAGCTACCAGTGAACGAGAATGTCTCATCTCCTATTATCTCTCTGTTAGAATTCCATTTTGTTTGTTAAAGCTCCATATTTGATATTAGAAGTGCTGTTTAGCAATCCATGTATGAACTCTCAACCAACCCCTTCTAGTAAAAAAAGAGAGAGATTGTTTCAAGTACACCCTGTATTCTAATGTTAAAAACACCCTGTATTCTAATGTGTAAGAATGAAAAGTTGAGAATATATGAAAGGAGATTGGCTAGGCAGAACAGTATAATTGAATTTAAGTTTATGTAAAGAATGGATGTGTTAATCATTGATTATTAAGAATAGATGTTTGTAGACGTGCAAATAATAGAATAATTAATCAAAAATTAAATTAGACCTTGAAGGATGACAATGTGTGATCACACATTATTATAATGAGAAAACTGTGGTTGGCTAGCCAAAAGAGCTACTGATGACTATGGGTTGTAATTTCTATGGGAAAGTTGTAATCATTTGATGGGTTGTTTAGAAATCATGTGTGTAATCTGGAAGTGTACAAGAAACATTGCTTTGGATGTTTTTCTCAGCCTCCTCCATATTTTTTAAGCTGTCCCTATGCACATTTGTATTTCAGAAAATGCCTATCTTTCCACTTGGAGCCTGCATCCTTTTTCTTTTGAGTTTCTGGGTGGGATATCTTCAGTCTAGAATAAGGTTACCAGATTTTTTTCAATGAATCCAGGAACACTTTGCAACTTCCTACGAAATAGATGGATTTTGTCAGGCGACTGATTTGTAAATCCAGGGACTGTCCCTGGGAAATCGGGACGTCTGGTAACCTTAGTCTAGAAACCCCTTTTCAATTTCTCCAACACTACAACTGTGACTTGAGAGTATTGTCCCCAGCAGAATAATGTCTATGGGTTCTAGGATGGCTCCACCCACCCAGGCAAGCCATTGCGTGCTTTTAGACACAACTTTGGAATGTTGCCTGCAAACCAAAGGTCTTCCTCACTCTGGCATGTTTTGGTTTCCTTTATTGGCTTTGACTCTTGATCTGCTGGCTTGAGCCCTCAACTCTGACACACCCTGCTGGCACAACTCCTGCTTGCTATCTCTCAGCTCAACTTGAATGGCTATCTACAGCTCAGCTTGGCAGTGGGAAAGTGGTGTGGCCCTTTTTTGTCTGGTGTAGCTTACCCGGTTAACACAAGGATATAACCGAATCCACCCCTTTCCCCCTTCTAATTTGTTTTAACAGCTTTCAATGTTGGATATTTATATTACTGTAACCTGTCCTGACACCTTATGGTGAAAGGGGGAGGGTAATGCTTGAAATCATCATAATCATCAGCTGACTGTCACAGGTATATACATTAAACCTCTCTTTTTCCTTCCCTTTCTGGAATTGACTGGAAAGGGGGGCAGTTTTGTTTTCTTTGCTTGACATTACAGATTAATTATTGGCTGTTTAATTGCATTAATTAAATAGGTCACAAATGAAGCATGTGTTTGTTGCTTTTTTTATTCATGCTCAGTTGTTTTCCTCCTTGTTTTGGTTTACTTTTGCAAAGTTGCATCCTCTTCTCACTTTTAGGATACCTGGGATTTCATTACACTGAATTGTTGTTGTCCTTTGTTATTAATATAATATTAAGATTTTTCCCCTCTCCAGGACTGGTACTTTCCCTCCACTCAGCCAGGCCTGCCTGTCCCATAAATGAGCTCCCAGGTGTGTTGATCATTGCCAGCCTAATTACCCACCTACCCAGAGGCATCTCTCTCACGTCACCAGGTTTTCAGACTGATTGCCCACAAAACACATGGGGAGGTAAGAGATTTCTGTTTTACCAGTTCTGCAATGCTAACTCCTGCTCTTGCAGGAAAACCACCACACTTATCATTCTGACATTTGTCAGGCTTCCTCCCCTCAGAAGAAGCAACCACATCTGCAAATTGCATCTATGTTTGGCAGAAAATAAAAAAAGTTTTTATTTAATTTTTTTGTAAAGTCCTCCACATAAAAACTCATGGAAGGGCCTGCCTGCAGTTTGGAAGGTTCAATCACTCCATTGCCTGAAAATTTCATCTATTTCAATAATAATAATAATAATAAGCACATGAGTGAATACCTACTTCCTTGCATGCCACATTCCCAATCAAGATCAGGTACCTATCCAGTTGCTATAAATTAATGGAGGGGAAAAGAAGAGGAGGAAGATGAAAAGGAAAAGACTGGCATTAATCACACTTTATTTTAAAAGTATTTAAAAGCCTTTGTTTGACCTTTAGTGCATTATAATAGGAGGAGCCCCCTTGACAGCAATGATGCTACTCCTGAAATATGGCAGCCACAGAGAGAAAGAACTAAAAGCCCTTTAAATGTGCTCATCATTTACACTACGTAATAATGGGTCGGCTTTGTTTTCAGATCTAAAAAGTAATTTCTGAGACTGCTTCCTTGTGCCAGGAGTTCACATAAAATTGATCGGTGTCTCAGCCCAAGAAGCAACCTGGGTGTTAAAAATTCCAGAGATACAAAACAATCTGGTTGTGAAATATTTTCTGGTTTGATTTTGAATCTCCTCTTCAGGTCTCATTAGTGTCCTTCGGAGGTCCAAAAGAATCATTTGACTGCAGAAGTGAGCTGGTTTGTGGGGGCTGCTGCTGCTGCTGCTTGCTCTCTTTCCAAATGTTTGCCGCATGCTGCGTACCCTTGGCTCCCTCGCCATGCAGAACATGCTGCTTCTATTTTTTTTTATCTGAAGGAATAAAAGGGCAATGGAAAACAGTGTGTTTCTCAGGGTAGTAACTGTCATTTTTGCAGTACTGGACCAATAAAAGAAAGGGCCTTGAAGGGAGCCGCAAGGGAGCTGGGAGGCCAAGCTCCCATCCATGCTTTGTTTGCAGGAGGCTGAAATCTTTAATGACACACCAAAATAGAAAGGGCAACCATAAAGAATATGGGGCTGGAGAACTGCGCATATCAATTGGGATAGTGAATTGAGGACTTCTTGGTTTGGGGAAATGGTAGGTAACAATGGTAGGGACACGTGGTAGAACCAGCAGAAGGGAGAGAATGTTCTCAGCCCAGGGGCCATATTGATAACCTTCTAGGAGCTGCATGCGGTGGTGAGCATGGCCAGAAGCAAAAGTGAGTGGACCAACAGATGTAGTTTCCCCCCTTTGTACAGTAGCCTACATACCCCTCTAAGCACACAAGCCAGAGGTTTCTACACACTCACACATTCTTCTCTCTCCACCTACGCAAGCTAGAGACATTATCAGAGTTTGACCTATTCCAGCCAGGCAATAACACTGAAAGAGTTACTAGAAACATGGGCTCACCCAACTCAATGGGTTGGCAGGACATTCGGGGCAGAGAAAAGAATGTATGTAATGCATCCTTGACTTAGGAAATTGACTTCCACAAAGTGTGCTGATGGCACACTTAGATCATTTCAGAGGAGAAAGAAAGGCAAAAGGCTAAATGTTAGCTAAATAAAAGCTCTAGATCCTGGCCACAGTCACACCATATATTGAAAGCACTTTGACACCATCATTACTTCCCCCCCCCAAGAATTATGTGAGTTATAGTTTGCTAAGGGTGCTGAGAGTTGTTAGGAGGCCACTATTCCCTCCACAATCCCTGATTGATTTAACAATCAATCTCTCTTCTCAGAGCAATCTGTATGGTGTGGATGTGGCCCCAGAGCCATCTATTAAATTATCTTTGGGAATGCTTAGGTGTGTGGGGAAGTATCCTATTTCACTCCATAGTGATGGTCCTTGAAGAAGACACACTTCCAAGAGAGTGGAAGCTTAGTATGCTGTGTGAGGGATTTTACAGGTGAATCCAACTCCTAGCTACCTGCTAGCTCTTTTCCTTGTTGCTTCACAGGAAGGAGTTTTTCCACTGCCCTTCTCCCGGAGTTTGTACCTCCAAACTGCTCAAGCACCCATTTCCTCCAGGGCTGGATGAGCTTCTCTGCCACTGTGAGGTTAATAGGCCACTGATAACTCTGCCTCTGGGGAAAAAAGTATTTTCTGCCAGACACTCTCTTTGCTCACCCACAGACTCATCATTCCTTGCTTCTCCTTCAGGACTGATGTGCCTTTTAGAGGCACCACAGCTCATGCTACACCACCTCCTGACCCCTGGCACCCTCTTCCTGCTTAACATCTAACCTGAGTTTGCCATTAGAGGCAGTAATGTGTTTTGTATATTGCAAGCTGTTTCAAATGCAATCACTTTGGTTGGAAAGCAGCACAGAAATTAAAGCCTAATCTAAGTCTAATCTGGGACCTAAGAACATGCCCACCTGCTACCTAGTTGCTACATTCTCCTGTCATTTAACCCGGCAGCTGCTCAGTCTTAAACACCATCTGATTCTTAACACAGCAGGCTCAGAGCAAGGCAGAAGACTGCAGCCATGTGTGAATAAAAGGTCTGTCAAAGAACAAAAGGAAAAACCTGTCCATTGCCTAGAGGAGATACACCACAGTGTAAACAGAGATGACACATTAGGTCCATCTGGAACCTCAGACAGGAGCACACACATATGCACGTATTTATCGTTGGCTGTATAGCAACAAATTCTGCCAGTCCTGCACAATGCTGTTTTGTTGGTTATTGGTAGGAATGCTGCAAATATCTGCACCTGTCAGGCCACTTGTCAGTGTAGCTCAGTATTCCCTACATTGACTGGAAGACATTCTTCAGGGCTTCAGGAAGAAGTTTTTCCCAAACCTGGCTGGACATGCTGGGAGTTGAACCCTAGGCCTTCTGCATGCAAATCTGATGCTCTACCACAGAACTACATCTCTTTCTTCAACTGACGGTCTAAGCTCTGGCAACCTCATGCTTAGATGACAATGATATATGATATATGTAATTAATTAAGTAAATAAGGTAAGTTACATAATTATGCTGCAGCAGACAGTGAGATGAACAACATGGATTTTGGCAGAAGCTGAACTGCAGTGGAGTGGAAACAGTGCTGTATGAGACAACTACAGGGCAGAATGGGAAAACAATGCCGTCTTACATCCCTACCATAAAGTATCCAATGAAGTAGTTCAAATATATAAAAGGACGTCACATAGAGGAGGGAGAAAGGTTGTTTTCTGCTGCTCCAGAGAAGCGGACACGGAGCAATGGATCCAAACTACAAGAAAGAAGATTCCACCTAAACATTAGGAAGAACTTCCTGACAGTAAGAGCTGTTCGACAGTGGAATTTGCTGCCAAGGAGTGTGGTGGAGTCTCCTTCTTTGGAGGTCTTTAAGCAGAGGCTTGACAACCATATGTCAGGAGTGCTCTGATGGTGTTTCCTGCTTGGCAGGGGGTTGGACTTGATGGCCCTTGTGGTCTCTTCCAACTCTATGATTCTATGATTCTATGAAGTAGTGACATTCTTACAGAGAAGGGGGACAAAGTTCTTCACATTCCTAGGTTCCATCCAATCTTTAGTCCCCTCTTAACCTTTGGAGCCAACTCAAAAGTTCCTTGCCAAGCAAAACGTCTGAGGAATTTTGGGAGATGTCAAAAGAGTTTTGGCAAGCCTAGCAAAATCCCCCTGTTGTACTGTGTTGATTCTCAGACACTGATTCAAAGCTGTCAACCAATTCTTTACATACCTGTCTTTACCATTTCATAATCAGCCACAGTGTAGTGCCTTGCAGGAGTGCAGAAACAAGGAACGCCCTGGTATACCTGCATCAGCACAATCAGACACCTTCATCTGTCCCAGTTGTGCAAAACATGTCTTTCCCATATCGGTCTCTACAGCCACAGCAGACACTGTAACTCTCCAGTGGTTTGACTTTACACCCGAAGGCACACTCTACCACTGTCTCCCAAGACAGACAGATGGCAAACAGTGCTTTGTATACAGAAGATCCCAGATCAAATCCCAGTATCTCCAGGTAGGGCTCGGATTGTTCTCCAGCCTGAAGCCACGGAGAATCTCTGCCAGTCAGTCCCAAAACTCCCCACCCCCTTTTGACCACACTTCAAAATTACTCAGGATCTTGGCAGAGCACTGAACCTTTTTTATGCCTGTTGTTTAGCGATTGTAATGTGTTGTGCTACTACATCCTAGGTTTTTTTAAAAAAAAGTTTACTACAATCAATCATTTTATGTGTATATCATCTTTACTAAGTTAAAACCATGCTCACGGCAGCTTACAACATGTAAAAAAAACCCCTACAGTTACAAACATCACAGAAGTAGTCATAAACAATAAATAAAACATCGAAAAAACCACACTGAACAATTTCCACACAAATCTTAAGAAGATCTAAAATAAAGATACAACAAATTAATATCAATAACAGCAACAACAACACCCCCAAGAAGAAAAGAAACCCTAAACAATTCCCAAGCCCAGGACCACTTGAATAAAGTTCACTAACCACTGGTGGCCTGCAAACCAAATATTGGGAACCCTGGTCTAGAAAGTACTGAGTTAGATGGACCAATGGATTGATTCAGAATAAGACAACTTCCTATGCTTCTATATCTATGTAGATCTGTTGCACAATTCCCTTCTGGCCTATATTGAAATGTTACCCTTTTTTTGCTTTTGTGAGATTCTTCCAGCTGGTGTTTTTGCAGAGGAGGAAATGTTGGAAGGAGGAGGGTGAGACCACAACAACCTTCAATCACACGATAAGTATTGCCAAATGGGATCATAACCTTTCCCAAAGAGCTATAAAGAAAACATCCAGCTATAATTTATTTACACACAACTAGGGTGAATATGAAATTGTGTATTAATCACCATGCAGAGGAACAAAAACTGGAAGGAGGTAGCTCATTACTGTGAAGGAGATACAATTCCATTACTTTTCCAGGCGCTGCCCCCTGCCTTCTGAAAGTAAGGTAATGTTTTGTCATTGCAATCAAGAATGAGTTCCCTATGCAAGTGAAGCCACAGGAGGGAGAGGAAAATATTGTTGCTCAGCAAGACCTGATAGCCAGTCATCAACTTATTTTGCCCTTTGCACAGACAAGCTAAAATGTAATCCTATACATGCCTATTCATAAGCTCCATTGAGTTTGATATGACTTACTCTTAGGTACACGTGTATAGGAGCGACGGGGAAATGTTTTCAGACTGAAGGGGACAATGCCTTATGGGCAACCTCCCAGGTGCCACCTGACAGTAGTGAGTGGAACAAGGGACAAAATGTGGGTGGAGCAAATGGTTGCAATGAGAAAGTAACTGTACTTACAATATGTACAGTGGCCTACATTCCAGTCATGAAAAATCAATGGCTTGTGTGTGCGTGCGCACCTCTCCCCCCCCCATTAGGGATGGAGGAGAACATTGTTTGTTCACATTTAAAGGCAAAGCTACCCAATTTACACTTCCCGAAACGGTAAGAGAACTGAAACCAAGCCGTCCTTTGAAACTTACATGTCTCTGAATTTTGCAATGCTGTTCTCCAGCCAAGTAATTTGTACAGAAATGCATATTTATGGAAGTGAGTCATGGGCAACTTACAACCATTCAGAGTGATATCTCAATACCTTCCAGATGTGCTGTGTCAGGAAGATTTTGGGCATCACATGGCAGGACAGAGTCTGAAACAAAGATATGCTCTCCCAAGCCCACGTTCCTAGCATGTTCACACTCCTGTCTTAAAAACATCTATGCTGCCTTTGTCATGTCCACAAAATGGAAAATGGCAAGATCCCCAAAAACATGCTCTACAGGGAGCTGGCTTTAGGCACCAGGCCCATTGACAGACTAGTCTGTGTGTCAAAGATGTGTGCAAAAGTGACTTGAAGGCTGACAACATCAACCCCATCATGTGAGAATCCCTTGCAGATGACCACAGTGCCTGGAAACACACAGGTTTTGTATCCACAGCAGTGACGTGAGGAAGAATGACTGCTGGGAGGAGCACCGAGAGAAGAAATGCCATGGTGCATCTGCAGCAGCACAACCGGACACCTTCATTTGCCCCCGTTGCTACAAAACATCTCTCCTGTATCAGTAGAGTACAGCAGGCACTGTAACTCTCCAGCGGTTTGATTTTACCCCCGAAGGCACAGTCTTCTATTGTCTCCTGAGACAGACAAATGCATACCCTCCAATTGTCCCAATTTTCCATTGACCGTCCCAGAATTACAAAAGCCATTCAGGTTTCTGAATTGATCTGGGAATGTCCCTATTTCTCCTGCTAGTGCTGCTGCCACCAAGCTCAAGGAAGAGGAGGAGCCAGGGCTTGTCCCGAGCACTTGTCCTGCATCTGCAGCTGCAAAGGAGCATCCCATTACCTCTCCATGGCCGCTGCTGCCAGCCTCCTCCCTTGGGCGGCTCATAGCAGCTGCTGGATAGGAGGAGGAGAGGCTGCCGCCACCATGGCCCAGTCTTGCATGACATGCCAGCTGAGAGCAGGGCCTGAGAGCAGGGCCACCCTGGGTGGGAAGAAAAGGGAAGCAGAGCTCAAGGAGTTTTGTTTCTTTATCAGCGTCTAATCTTGACCCTTTCTAAAATTTATTTTTTGGTATGTGTTTTCCTTTTTGGAAATCTACCAAAGAATAAAATAAAATTGGGATTAAGGTGTTTTCACAGAACAGTGGAGGGCATGTGCGCCATGTCCCGTTGGGGTGGTGGCACACACCTTTCTTCTGACACGAAAAGCTCTGTGGTGGGGGGCAAAAAATGGGGTCCAAGAGGGTCAGTTGGAGGGAAGTGAGAACTCCTACTGGGTGCAGAAGCACAGACATTGAAGGGGCAGCTGCAGGGCAGAAGAGAGATGGATGCAGAGATACCCATCCACTTGTCACATGAACCCATCTGTGGGATGAACAAAAGGGGTCCCACTCCCAGAAGTACCTGCTCTGGTAGTGAACATGCTGAATCCCATTGGGTAATGATGGCACTTGCCCTTTCTCTAGTGGGAAATGTTCTGTGTGAAGGTTGGGGGGATCCAAAAAAGTGGGGGTCATTGAGGGCCAATTGGGGGGCAGTGAGAACTCCTGGGGAGTGGTGGCAGAAACACAGATGCCCAAGGGGCAGCAAACCCCCCCCCCAACATTCCTCAAATGAAAATGTCCCTATTTCCATCTGAGGATTATTGGAGGGTATGTGAATGCCAACAAAAAGCATATTAGGAAGCAGGGGTGCGGGCTAAGGAGAGGGTGTGTGGTTAGGGAGCACACACAGACCGAGAGAATCCTGAGAACTAGACAGAGGGGTTTCGAGCACCACATTCAGCCCCTCCTGCTCCCCACCCCATTCTTGGTTGTTTAGGATGGCCGGCTCAGGCTAGGATCCTTACCTGGGACTAAACCTCATGGAAGTGAACCTGGCTTATTTCTGAGTAGATGTGTACAGGACTGCACAATCAGTTTCCTAAGAATATCACATTTCATTTTTTAAAAAAAAAATAAAATCAAGTTTTTACTCTTCGTGGTTGCAAGGATATGATGACCCCAGGAAATTCAGAACTTCAATATCCCAGGAAAAATTCAGGTAAGAAGGATTTCTCTTAAGAACTGTTGTTTTCTCCTCCATGTCCCAGCACTATTTTATTCACCTGGAAAAGGGATTTACAAGTGAGGTTCATGTTCCAAAGCATGCTTGTCAATAAATCTCATTGCGTGGAAATAAATCCAGAGAGATTAATCTCAGACAGTCTAATGAATGTTATCAAGATGGCTTTCTAAGAAGAATTTCAATGAGTGCTGGGAGGAAAGTGCACTTGTATTCACGGTGACTTGACAAACAGCTAATAGTGGGAGCCACAATGGACTTGAAAAGTTGTGCAATTTAGGGTTTGCAATTTGAAGTTTCAGATTGGCCTAACTC